TGGAAATAGTAAAATTATATTTGTGTAATGAAATCAGTAATCATCTACTATAATGAATAATTCGTTAACGCTATAACAAATTATTCGTTATACATACCACATAATTCGTTATAGCATTAACGAAGATTCTTATAACAAAGTCCTGATCGGCTAAATCAGCAACTTCATTATATCGAGGTATAACTGTATAAACTGATCTCTTAATGCTAATTGATTTAATAATGTAAACTGATTTTATTTAAAAAATTGGTTATCAGATTATTCAAAAATAAATTTTAGACTAATCTTTACTTAAAATGGGCTAAAACTGAAAACTAGAATTTAGTCTTAATATTCTAACAAAGTAAGTAATTAAGCTATTAAAATTTTTTATTTTTGTGTAATATCAGTTAAAATTAAAATTTAGAAATGATTAACAAAATTTAAAAATAATTGATATTATTATTAAAGTTAAAAAAATTTTATAAAGCCTTTCAGGTCATGTGTAATATACTCTAATACTAGGTAAAGGTAATAGTGATCCAGATACAGTATTAATAAATACAGGGAAAATTGACAAAAGTACCTGTAGCTAAAAGTGATCCCTCTATTCAAATTTGACAATGATTCTGAGATTCTAAATTAGCTCTTAAGAATTGACTTAGATAGCAAACCTTAGACCAGTATCAATGGGTAGATTTTGATTAGAACTTATATCTAATTATGACTTTTAGGGTCTTAAGATTTAGGTGTAATGTGAGGTTACTTTAAGTAACCTCTGAGAGTACCATTAATAATCATTATATAGATTTTAAGTATTCGGTTACTAAAAAAAAAGAATAATATTTCAGATTTTTATAAAATTCAAAATTTTTTTAACTATTATTAATAGTTAAATTAAGAGAGATATATAAGAGATATTTAATACTTCAGCAAATATTTTTTTTAAAATAAATAATAAATATATAATTTACTTTTAAAAATTGAATTTTCTAATAATTAGTGTAATAATATCTTGTAAAATGATTTTAATAACAAATCTTAAGTATTACAAATTGAATTTAAGTATTATAAAAATTAGTCTTGTAAAATAATTTTAATAATAAAATTTATATATTTTATAATAGCAAAAAATTTTAAAAATTTTAAAATAATAATTTAATAATTAAAATTTTAAATAATAAATTTTAGCATCATATTATTAATTAATTTAACTTAATATTTAAATATAGAATAATTTATATTGTTAAAAATGTTTATTGTAATATAATATTTTTAATCATTATTTACTTAAAATCAATTTCTTATTTCATAAGTGATTTTAATAGCTTAATTTGCATATGTTGATAAGTAAAAAATATTTGAATTATTTGCAAAGACTACCAATGATGGTAATATTGCTGCTATGTATAATCTTGATATTTATTATAAAAATTTAGTAGGTATTTATGTAAATTATAAAGCTTTTGAAAAATCTGCAAAAGGAAATTATTTAGATAAAACTTAGAATTTAAAATTTAAGAATTTGTTATTATAATAATATTAAAACTAATATTGATAAGAAAAATGCATTTATATTCTTTGTAAATACTGTAAATAATAGTAATATTATTGCTATTTATAGCCTTAGTTTTTATTATCAAAATGGTAATAGTGTTAATATTGATTATAATAATATTTTTAAAAAATTAGCAGATAGAAACTATTCAATTTGAATATTAAATTTATAATATTATTATTATAAAGGGTTCGGTACTAACATCAATATAAAAAACTGCAAATTTAGAAATTGATGAGACTTAATATTTTCTTTGCTCTTATATATAAAATTAAAAACGAAATTGAAATAAATATAGATAAAGCAATTTATTGATATACAAAATCTGTTAAATAAGAATATAAAGATGTTTATAATAAGTTAAAACTCTTTTAAATTAATTTTTTTAAAAAATCATATTTATATTTTATACTATATTAGATTATTAGACTATAAACTTTATTTAACAACTATAAATTTACATATAATTTTAGTAATATGTTTATGATATTTGTTAGAATTTCATTAAATTTACTTATTATTACTTAATATAAAATTTGATAAATAATTAGGTTTTTCTAAACTCTTAATATAATAATCTAAATATTATTATTTAGAATTTTAATCTCTAGAAAAAATGAGGTAAATTTAAAATTTGTTATATTAATTTCAAACTTATTATTATCTGAAAATCAAGATCAGGTCAGTAGGATTATTCTAGTTAAATGAATTTATTGTTAATCATTTAAGCAGAATGATTTTATTATCATTATAAATTTTTAAATTAGGTTAAAATTATAAATTTACTAGAATTATAGTATATAGAATTATAATTTGACCAAAATTATATAATTATAGTCCATTTGAATTAAAATTGAACTAGACATCTTTATTAGGTTCAAGTCTATTAGTCCATCATTAGTCACTGATCATTTCTGAAATCAGAGGAATCAAATGGATTTATTAATTAATATGCAGCTTATTAATCACTTTTTTTACTATAATTAATTAGTAAAAACTGAAATTTCCAGTTTTTTCATCATATGTAATCCTTAATTTTCTACTAATAAATTTTATCAAATTTTTTTAAGTCTCTGAATTAAGACAAACATTTAAAAACAAATTTTTTTTTGCTATTTATTAATGAGAAGTTAAAAGGATCTCTTTGTAAAGTTGGTTACTTATTTTGTTAAAATATTATAACCTTTCAAGTAAATGGGAAACTATGCAAACTGCACAAACAAGTTTGGTCTTCAAAAAATATATTTTTATTCAAGATTTTTAGTTTTTAATTAAAATAAAATAAAATAATATTAATTTTAGAGGTTGGTGAATGTTTTATAAGTGAATGTGTGATGTGAGAGAGAATAAAAAAAGGGATAAGTCATTGAACATGTAAAATATTATTTGAACATGTAAACTAAAAATTTATCTTTAAAAATAAAATTATTTGTATTTTTTATGTAAATTATATAAAAAAAGGTTACAATGTTTGTAAACTATCTTAATATTTCTTTAAATTTGATGCTTATAATAAAGAAAAATCACCTTTTTGGCCCTTTTTCAACAACGTACAAATAAACTTCAAAACAAATTTAATAATAATATATCTATATTAATGGTTAACTTCTCCCGTAAATGACTTTAAAAAAGAACCAGTATTGGCAGAAGGATCTCAGTTTAAAGTTCAAAAAATCATAGAAAAGCCTTATATATCGAAATATTTAAGGAAGCGAGATATTATAACGAATTAGTGCCATTTGAAAGTTCATATGTACTACTTTTAGTATATTGTAAAAAAGTTGTATTTTGTTAAAGTCTTTGTCACGTTCGAACTTAATAAAGATAGGCTAATTTACGTAGTACAAAAATTTTTAATTAATGACTGTTATTGGGAATTGGACAAGATCCAATTCCAACACTGCTATGAGAATTTAATTATGAGTAGGGTTGCCAATGTCATGACCGGTTATAACCGTAATTTCGCATCAGGAAATTCTTCGTCATCAGCAATTTCTTTAAATAATTCGGCTATAAACTTTCTTTATTTTCAATATTACCCAAATCAGCATATCCTTTTGAAAAAGGCCTTGATTTTATTGAATTTTGCATACGCATCAAAACATTTATAAACAGTTTCTAATTCTCCAACGATTTTACTATTTTCGTCAATCAATTTATGTTGTTTTTCTATTTCAGCAAGTGACATGTAATTGAATGATCGAAATATGAAAATTCATCTTTTGGAATAACAAACCCACCTAGTTTAATTTTCAGTGGTTTGATAATGGTTTTGTGAAGAATATGATATATTCAATGAAGATATGATTGATCCTTTGACACAATCTCCAAGGACATTAAATATTTCTGTGATTTTCGGTCTAAATACCGGATCATGATTAACACTAGAAAGGAAAGAGAAAACAATTAAAATTTTTGCAAGAATTATCTGTTTTACAATATAATAAATATAATACCATCAAGTGCTAATTAATTGAATCTTTCGGGCAATTTTCTACTCTCAGAAAATGATTTTCTTTTTGTGGTTATTGACAAAATCGATTATAGTCCTAATGTCATCATGTTCTTCATACGGAGTTCTCGCTTCAGCGATTTCCAAAGTAAGATTCCAAAGCTATAAACTTCACATCTATGATCATATTTGACGTTTGGAGCCCTATCTAGCAATTAAGGATCTATATTTTGCTCTAACATCTTTCGATGAACGACTTATTTTAAAATTTTGCAAGTTGGCTGTTTCGTTAATCGTAATTAAGACATTTTTGGATTTAATATCACGATGCACGATCTAAAAAAAAAATCAAATTTAAAACGAAATCTCCATAATTCCACATGAGAATCGCTTTCGATATTTGCAGTTAGCCTTTTTGAAGATCATTTGCCAGGCTGGCCTAATTTTTTTTTTTTTTTTTTTTTTTTTTTATACAAGCCGGAAATTCTTAAACAGCTAAATATTCCACGCTCTCCCTTGTTATATTTCTTTGTATACATTCACTTCAGAATCCTTCCTTTAACACCTTCGTGATATTTTCTTTCGCCGTTTTAACTTTTTAAATTTCATATATGTAATTTCGTTTATTATTTTATTTTTAATTTCCGATCTTTATTAATAGTTTGTTATACAATTTTTATGTAATAATTTGTGATTGCGCAGTTCTAATTAATTGATAGCATTTATTTAGTTTTAATATTTTGACAAAGCGAATGTTAGAGCGCCGACGTTGAGGCAACAATGATCAAATTAATAATAAATTTAGCGTCAATATTTCTTCAATTTTATTCAATTAATACCTTCTGCTTACAATACAAATTGTTTATAAATACATAAACTGAATACAACACTATTAAATAATTACCTCTACAGATCTTAAAATATTTAATCCACGTGCAATATCAAGGGATTTACGTAACTTTAAGTGAACAAAAGTTTGAATAAAATTTACGTAGATTTCCAAAATTCAGCCCATTCTGTTACCAAATACCATCCATCATCACTAGAAATAAGACCTTTGAAATTCTTTAAGAATTGTAACTTGGTTTCGCACACGACTTTGATCATTCACGTCATTGAGTCTGAATGCAAATTCTCGATCGTCATAAACATATCGAGTTATAACCCCATCACCACGTTTTTCATTTGTTTCTTTATAATTAGTCGATTATTTTTGAAAATATTATTGATTTTCCATTGAAAATTTTGTTTTTTCAGGAGTCGTTCCATCGTAGCATGCATAATAATTGATTGCTTTTTTAACGTCATCACCATTTTGTGAAATAATGATAACGTTAATTAAATTAATAATTTCAAAAAAAAAAAAATTTAAAATTAAAAAATCAGAATGGATTAAAACCTTATATAGATCGTAAGTGTACCTTCTACATCATCTTCTCGAAGACCTGTCATAACATAATTTTTACTGCCAACTCTACATCACTATTCTCAAATGGAGGCCGTCCACCAAAATCAATTGCAATTTGATATGCTAATTGATATTTGTCATCCCATTTTAAAATTTTAAATTTACTGAAATGATAATTCAAATAGTCTTTAAGAAAGCCTCCATGCATATTCCATTACTATCAAATATTTTATATTTTGTGAAAGCTGGTTATCTAGCAAATAATAATAACGTAAATTATCCAAATTATCAATTAGACAAATTAAATAAATAACGGATTTACTAATACCATATTGATTGGTAATTCCAAGTAATCGTATAATATTTTCATGATAATAATTAACAGTGCGTAACAAATTAATCTAATTAAAGAGTTCAAGATAAATTCAAGCAAATGATTATTACTGCAAACAGATAATTACCTCTTTGATGACGTTACTAACAGACACATTATTATTTTCAAATGCTTTCAAAGCTAAAACGTTTCCATCACTTCTCCAATTCGTTTGAAATACATTACCAAAACCACCAATACCAATCTTTTAAATTTATATTTATAATATTTTATGTGTCCATTTTCAATTGCTTCATCAAGCCAAATAATCCATTCACATTTGTCATTTATAGTATAAAAAAAAAAAAAATCACAAAACGGAAATGGCGCCATTTATGATTCATTTGTGCAAATCAGTTGAAAATTATTTTTTTTGTCATACCAAAAAATCCCCCGATATTCGATAAAAATTTCCGACTCGATAAATAATTTAATTTTTTATATAATTCTTTTAATTATAATGTTTAAACTAATATTGATGATATCTGAGCTTCTTTTTTTTTTTTTTTTGCAAATGTTGGAAGTATATGTTTGAAATATGTCTGCGTCTTATGTAATCCGTCGATATATACAGTATATACCGAAATGAGAAAACTTTATCACGAAGGTGCATTGAAAGGATTGAAAAAATGCATGGACTACGATACGCTTTGCAAGAAAAACTTTTTTTAATAGATATTTGTCGTTTTGGCCGGTTTATTAGCCCCGGAGCGTAGCGAAGGACTATATAATACTATGCATATTGATTCAAAATGTCTGAATCCCCGCTCAATAATTGAGTTGATGCTGATTGGCTTTTGTAATTGTACAAAGTCTAGATAAAGAAAATACCAGTATGAATTTTTTTAGATAAAATCGTTCCGGACTTAACAACGGTTTCCGTTTCCCAGTATTATAATATTATAAGCTTCGATACATACATACGATACAATTAGTGAAGGTAGAGTAGTGCTCCGTAGGGTCGGGTCGGGTCCGTTTTGAAGCATCGAACCCGTTAATAATTACAAAACCCGAATTCGACTCGACCCGATTATTGTTTAACTCGAATTTTCAAGGGTAATATTAATGCCGAACATACAACTATTTATTATATATATACAGATAATAAAAAAGTGTCATAGCAATTTGAAAAAAATTTAAAGTTTATTTTATGTTTATTTTACATCTTTTTTCACCAGGATTAACAGGCGGCGCGAATTAAAATCACATCCTTTGGTTGATATTAGACTAGTTCCGCCAGAAAAAAAACTCGTTCTAATGGAACATTTGTTGCTTTATTAAAAAAAAAAAATGTATTAATTAATGTTTAATAATCGACAATTTTTTTTTTTTTTTACACCTGATAATCTCTAGCCATTATGGCTAAACATGGATATTCGGTACATAATTTAATTGAATTAATTAATACATTAAATAAATTAACATTTTTATTTTTACAAAAATTATGATTTATAATTACATCATATTCATCATTAATATTTTCAACTTCTATATCAGTAATAGCTGGTATATAGTCGGCGTTATAAAAATTAAAGAACTACATCTTTGGCATAACGAATAATGCCTTGTCTCCATATTTTATCTTTATAACAACCAAGCTTTAACCAAGTACTATATGAACCTTTTCAACAGAAGGGGGGAAACAGCCGGAAAAAATAAATTTTACTTTAAATGTCAAATATGATTTTAGGTCAAATATGTTCAGATTTAGTATTAACTCATTTTTTATTTTTTTCCAGCCATTTCCCCTTTTTTATTGCAAAGGTCCCATATATTATAATTCACTCTATTTTTAATATTAAAAAAAGTTTAACATATCGAAGTCGCGTAACGTAAAACGAAAAAAAAAAATCAGATCATCAAACATATGTACTGTGCAGATTGTGTTAGAAAAAAAATATATATATATATTTATTTAACCACCTTCACCTGATAGATACATTTTGAAATAAATTTTATAAAAAAATTTTATAAATTTATTTGTCCGGAGCGAAGCGAAGGACAATATATGTCTATGCGCTATGAAATTTTTCGGTCACGTGATTATTGCGTTTCTCTGATCTTCAACCAATGAAATCTCCGATTTTGGAAAGTGTCAAGATCGCTCCGGACTCAACAACGGTTCCCGTTTCCTAGTTGTCCTGAGCGAAGCGAATGACTATATATTTCTGTGCATTGAGAAAATTTTGGTCATGTGAGCGTTTCTCTGTCCGCCACGTGATTTTCGTCCAATAATTCGCTCAGTACTCACAACGGTCACCGTTTCCTAGTATAATGTATGCAGAGACCCGGAATTATTCCATTTTTATAATTAATGAATAAAATGGAATTTTTGCCGTATAATGGAATAAAACGGAATTTTTATGAATTTTAATAATTTTATTCCGACACGTGACAACTAACCAATCGTTATTGCAGTATTATTGACTTTTATCGTGATGGAATTTGTAAAAATTCCATAGTAACCGATCATTTTGATCATTTTTGGCCAAAATTATTGTCGTGTCACTATCGCAACTTAGATCAGCCTGCATTAAAATGTGAGCCGGCTAGAATTATCAAATGTTTCTTACTATAATTGGTAATTTTTTATCGGAATAAAATCGGAATTTTTCCCGTTATCGTGATAAAAATTTGTGCTTTGATATCATAATTCCGGGTCTCTGAATGTACGAAGGGACAAGGTAAGTCTACGCAATGTGGTCACATGAGTTTCTCTTATGCGATTATTGAGCTCTGGACTTATAATGGTTCCCATTTTCTTGTGTAATAATAATTGCATACATACAATTAACAAAATGATTATTGCGCCTTCTTAATCTCTTTATTTCTCCATTTCCATTTTGGATGTTATCGTTTAATAAAATATCGTAATTTTTAATAATATATACTTTTAAGTTATAAAAACCGGATCAAGGACTGGACTTATGAATCGGTCCAGAATAAATTTAGGACCAGGACCGACTCAAGACTGGTCTTAGGACCGGTCCAAGGGCAGACTTATGGAACGGTCCGGTCCAAAGAAAGATGATAAGACCGGTCCGTTTGGACCGACCGATCCAACCCTACTCCGGAGTTGTCGATCAATTATGCTGTGAGTCACGTGGTAGTAAATCCGCAGGTTTATATATTGGTGTGAACGAACAGGTCATGCTAACGCATAATCTTTTTCAAAATTTCCGAATTTTCCGGCAAAATTTTTTAAATCTGGAAATTTTTCGGAAGTAGCATAAGTAAACTTCCGATTAATATCAGAAATTTATATATTGAACTTGTAATAAAAAAATATATAGTTGAACTTTTTGGGACTTCAAGTTTTAAAACCGGATTGAACCTATTTAGGTCATGCGTATTCGGCTGGTTCGAACTAAATTAATTGGTTAATAGTGTTTACACAAATGTGCAGGTTCACTCAACATACATTACATATATACATTACATATATATGCATACAAGCCCTTAAAATATGACCTTCCAATTATAGATAATAATTTGATACTCTTTGATTATATTAAAATAAATTAACATTGTCGATCAATCTGGTATCACCATATCACCAAACTTTCGTTAAATAAAGAAAATCAAACAATTAATGAAATAAATTTTTGTCATTTATTGTTCAATTTAATCTTTACTAAATAAAATATACATAATAAATATGTAAAGAAGGAGAAAACATTATAATGAGAGTAAAATTAAGTAATTTCGTGAAATTTTTTCCCATCCCTCCTTTCATTTTTTTTTTTATTTTTTTTTTAATCTGATTCAAAATCCCTAAGATAATCTAAAACTTCATAATTTTTTAAGACACCTACATCCAAGAATTTATTCTTGACCCGTTCCAATTTTTCCGATAGCTCATAAACATCTTCGGATATGCTTAAAGACAAAGGTCGTCTTGATCTCCAAGATTCCAAAAACCATTCCAAATAACAAGATTTTAATCCACAATTCCCAACAATTTTAATATCACATAAAGAACTCGGAGCAAACCTTCTAACCAAGTTAAATAAATCAAAGCCACTTGAATTCATCGATAGCGCATTGAAGATAATTCCTCTTAATTTATTACAAGATCTAATTAATTCTTCTAATCCAAAAGAACTATTCCCATTACCTTCGTAAAAAAATGTTGAAACATAATAAAGGTTTGGACAATGGTTTGAAATAGTCATATGATAGGGTTCGATTTGCTGAGTAGCATCCTCCGGTATGTAAGAACCAAGAAAGATGTGGGTAAGATTCCCAATGGTACTTGATATCAATCTCGTCAAGATGTTTAATCGAGGAAGTTCAATGTCGGCTGATAAAAATTCTAAATTTGGTAATATGGTATACTCCAAGGCGTGTAGGTCTTTTGGATCACAAATATCCTCAATATATCCGATTTTCAATCTCTTCAAATTGATAAATGAAGAGAAGAATTCGATTGGAATACATTTACCTTCAAATATTTCCAATTCAAGTAGTGAAGTTGATTGATATTTTGATAAAGCTTTCCCAAATTCATGCAAATTATCATAAGCTTCACAACGTAAAGATTTTAAAGAATTTTGTAATTCGATCAATGACGTTAATCCCAAGTTGTCAGCTCCACAAATAACATCCAACTTTTCGATATTTCGACAATGTCTCGCCAGTCCAAAGTAGAATAGAGCGTCGTCACAGTCGCATTGCAATTCTACCAATTGTGATAAAGAATCGTCAGCCCAAAGGCAATTTGATAACGGATAAGGTGCTTCAATTCCCAACATAATTATCTTTTTAATTGAACGACTTTTTGATAATATCATCTTTAAAATTTCTTGATTGACGAGAACTTTATGATCCTCACTTGAAAATTGATGGCCAATAATTGTACTTAATTTTTTAAGGTCAAGACTTCTACCATATTTTGGGTATTGAAATAAAGCTTCATTAAAAAAATCCTCTCGCTTTGATAAATCGAATGGATGAATATTACATTCGTAAAAAAATCGTTTGATGTCTTTTTCTAAGCATGAAAATAGCGCCGTAAATAATGCGACCGAAACTTTTCCCTTAATGTAAGGTATGTTCACCTTCCAAGGATTCCTCCATAAAATTGGGACACTAGTTTCACACCACATCCTATTTATTAAAACGCACGAGTGCACAGTTTTGATATCCTCCTCTACATATTTTAAGATTTCGTAAACGCAGTCTGCGGAAAGGCTAAGCATGATTGTCTTGTAAATATTTTGGGGATAGGTGAATGAAAAAAAAAAAGGGCAATTTACGGAAAGAACAAAATTAACGCCGATATCTTTATATGTGGGTTTTTTATGTACCTCATTGTTATTCACTCATTGCTGTCACACCAATATTTTGTAATTTACGTGTAACAAACTCACCATAAAAAAAATAATGGGGCTTTTTCGTAGGTGACGGCTATTTCAAACAAGTTTATTATTTATTTAGGGTCTTGGACAAAAATGTCATTGAAAGATCCTCAACAATAAAACGAACAATTAAATGGATTTTCATTGATGTAAATCAGGGACGATGTGGCAATGATTTTTTACTTTTTTTTCATCTGATTGGATTTTTTTTTTTTTTTTGAAAATTTAGTCTAATAAAATGATGGAATTTATTGTTATTTGTGTTAAAATTTAATAAATCATAACAAATAAAAATTAATTTTACCTACAGATTATTTCACCAATAATCTTATACTTTTTTTACAAGTAATTATAAAATATGATATTTCAAACCCGTTTGGATTGACCAATCACCGGATATTTTATATTTTATATTATCGTTATACAAAAAGGATTTCCGTTATAAAAAATATTTTATTAAAAAAAAATTTAATCCTAAATTTATATGTTATTAATGAAATATTTTTTTAAAATCATTATAAATTTAATGATTTAATAATAAAACATTTTAAATATTTCAAGTTAACTTAAATCACTTTCAAATTTTCCTTTAAATTTAAAAAGTTAATTTACTAAAAGAATATAATATTAATAGGTAACGGAAACCGTTGGAGCGTCCGAAGCGTTCAAATAATTTGATATTTGCGTAGTACAATACTTATTTGGTAGATCACGTGTGGGGATAGACCACATGCATACTTTCAGGTCTAACCGTAATGTCCTACGCTTACACTTCGGACAATAATTATTTATTAATAAATATTATTCTTTAGATTGTTTAGTAGGCAAATTTACCTGCAAACTTAATTAAAAAGAGCATTAATTTCTTAATTAAATATTAAATATTAATTAAAATTAAGTCTTAAATAATTTATTATAATAATATTTTAAAAATTAATACGTTTGCTAACTTATTGAATCACTTTACTATTATAAATCATAAAAATTATAATAATTAAAGTTATTCTTTATGATAAGTTTTATAATATTCTATTATGATTAATATTGCTAAAAATAAATTTATCAAGGTTAATAATAAAATTGTTTAATATATAAATTTTTAAAAATTACAAATTTTTAGCTTATAAGTAACTTTAGATTTTTATTATATAATTAAAAATAAAAAATTTTATAATATAATATATATTTATAAAAAAATTTTTTAAAAAATTTAATTTTCATAAAAGTAAATCAGAAGTAAATTTATAATAAATAAGCAAGTAAATTTACCTATGAACTCTTACTTTCTAAGGGATAAATTACATCTTATTATTTTAATAATAATAACTTTTTTAATATTTTAAATTTTCTTAATATAATAAGTTTAATTAATTTTAGATTTAGATTTTATTTATTTATTATTATCAATTCTTATTTATTTTATTTATTATTATATTATATAATAAAGTTTATAATTTATTAATTACAAATATTAAATCATAAAAATAATTTATTATAATACTAATTTATTTATAATTTTTTATATTGTAATAAATTTTTATTAAATTTAATAAATTTTCATTATTTTTTATAAAATAATTCTAATAATAAAATTTATCCATTTATATAAAAAAAATACTCAAAATTTAATATTAATTTTAATATAATTAACTTAATTAATAAATAAAATTATAAAAATTTAATTCAATAAATAATTATATAAAATTAATATTATTAATATAATAAATATATTAAAATATAAATTTTTAATTTTAATATTTATATTTAATAAATTATTATTTTAACTATAAATTAATTTTTAAAATTATAAAAATAATTATCTTTTAGATTATTTAACAGGAAAATTTACTCAAAAGATATTATTTTATTAATTAATTTAATAATATATAATTATATAAAATATAATTAAAAATTAAATTTATTAATTTTATTAAAAAATATTTTATTTATTAAAAGTTTTAAAATAATTCAAATTTAAAATTAAATTAACAAATTTATTATAATAATTTTAAAAATTTCTTAAAATTCATATTTGTAAATTAATTGAATCATTTTATTATTAATAAAAATTATAAAAATTTCTTAATAAATTATAAAATATTATAATAATTAAAATTATTCTTTATTATAAATTTATAATATCATTTAAAAAAATTATATATTTTATTGCAATTATAAAATTTAATTAATATTGACTCAATTATTAAATAATGAATATTATAATATTTTTGTATTATATTATGTATTATCATATAATTCTTTAAATTAATTATAATTAATATTATTACTAAAAGTAAATTTTAATAAAATTATTAAAATTTAATAATAAATTTTAAAATTACAAATTTTAATTTATAAACAAGCTTAAATTTTATTATATAATTAAAAAAAATTATTAAAATATATATATATATTATAAAAATTAATTTAAAATAATTTTATTAATTTTCATATAAATAAATTAAAAGAAAATTTATAAATAATAAAAATCTACAATTTATAAGATAATATTAAACATTTTTAAATTAATAAATTTTATTTTTATATTTAAATTTTTAATCTTTATAAATTTATCTTATGATTTTATATAATTTATATAACTATTTAAATATATATTTAAATATTATTTATAAACTTATATGATTTTATATAAACTTGTATTATAATTTATATAAATATATATTTATAAAATTTTAATATACAGTTAACTCTCTCTAAGTGCACCCTCTTGAGACTGAACATATGTGTGCATTTACGGATGGTATGCATTTATAAAAATATATATATTTTAAAAAAATTCACATAATAAAATTATAAAATAATAATATTTATTACTAAAAAATCATTTTTTATTAACCATTATTAACCATTATTATTTTATATGAATAAA